ATCTATCGAATTCTAGAAAGTTCTTTCGAACTTCTCTGCCTGGATTTTCCTCTATCGAGATTCAGATTGAGGATTCGAATTTTGAATTTGAAGAAGTTCTTGGTTCTTCGAGGGGCAATCCGCTTCAGTCGAAGAAACTCTCACGAGCCCTCGCGACTGTTCCTGCCCGATCTACGTTCCCGATTCGTCTCCCCCCGTTTTATTTTTTTTTTCTTTTCTCTCTCTCTCTCTCTCTCTTTGCTTTTGCCAAAGTTAACGCAACACGTGAGAATTCACACGTTGCGTCCAGAAACTCGAGCGTTAATTTTTAAACGCGCGCGGAGCTATTTGTCCGCAACGGCTATTATTATCGACGACGGGGGGGTGGATGAAGTTAAGATTGAAGTTTCCCGATTCAGCGAAATTTCACGTAAAACACGCGAGATCGCGTGGACGTGGTCGACGATTTGTGCTTTTTCACCGTTACAAGAGGAAATGCGATTCGAACGCGTGAGATTGCGAGACTTCTCGGATACAACTTGGACGTCAAACTTGTGCTTCTTCGCTGTCGTGACGCGTTGTAAAAAAAAAAAAAAGAAAAGAAAAAAGAAAGAACGACATTGATTCGAGATGATAAGGTCGTGTGGATGTGGCAAATTATCATTGATTTTCGAGAAACCGAAAGTAGACTACTCGCAGAAAGTTCAGTCGCAACTATCAACGATCAAACCTTATTGTACTTACAAACAAACGCGTATGATAATATATTAACATTCCGAATAAATTTCGTCGATCCGACAAGTTGGAGCTACGAGTTATCGTAAAATTTTCCAATCGTCTGCTAATCTATTCGGATAAACGAGACCCCCATCTGCCATGTGATGCAAGTAAATAAATTGTTACGAACAGTATCCACGAAAGATACGTTCGGGCAAGTTGTTTCATCCGTTGGTCACGCCGGTCAGGGTAAAAGAAGGAGCAGTGACGATTTGTTCGATCGGAGAGCAAATCGAAGCTCTTTGGGGAAGCTGTAAAGCTGAAGAATACGTGCGATAAACGCGAGTGGCTCCGCGCCGCGAGGAAGGAGAATAGAAGAGCGTTATCCGCGGAGGAAAGATAACCCGGGTCAGAGTTATCGACGTAGACGTCGACGTGCAAGAGAGAGCAGTAGCGCGCTCGAGCAACGACGTCCGTTTCCGACGAGGGATGGCAGGACGGAAAAGATCGATCAGGCCTAGCTAGAAATCGCACCCCCGCGTGTGGAACGTGGCCGCGTGTAAAGTGGTGGTGTACACGGGAAAGGAAAGGTAGCGAAGGGTGGGTGGGGTCGCGATCGCGCGGTCGCGCGCTCGCTCTGCTCTTCTAGGAAACTCGATGCGATCGCAGTTTCGAGCGAAAGTCGCGCGAACGGTGACCGAATCCACGCGAAGGAAGGAAGCAAGCAAGCAAGAGTGATAGAGAGGGAGGAAGGAAGGAAGGAGGACATTTCGAGTGTTGGATCGAGAACCAAAAATCGAATTCTCTGCGACGGCAGATCGCGATGACACGCCACTGGCTCTCCCGCCTCGCATTTCTCGCGATCTATCCTGACAGACTCGTCGATACGTGATTGGTTGGAACCACGGGTCTCGTGCGGTCGTGCAATTGACACGCCGGTCCTGAGGGAAGCTCCCGAGACGGTGGACCTACGTAAGTAAAACAAGAGAAGAAACAACCCGTTCGGCCGGGCGACGTTGTGTCGGCGTGTTAATACAGCGCGCAATGAAAGCCACATTTCCCTTTCGAGACCATGGCTGCCGACCTCATCAAGCCCGTGCCTGAGCTCGAGCTTTTGTCCCGGACCT